TCCCCCCCCCCACACACACTTTTTCCCTCCACTTTACAACACTAATACCCACAGTGTCATTTACTTTGCACATTTCTCTGAAATATGCTTGTACTTAAAGCAAAACAGAGGGCAGTGTGGCTCAGAAAAGTAACCTGCTGCTATTCTGGCACAAAGTCTTCTGGTCTGGGATTTCAACATCAAAATGATTTAAATCCAGGGTTTTTATAATTGTCCCCTCACTATAACAGCAAACGGCTGTGTGGAACTTGGCTGTTGCTCTGGGTAAAGGTACCTGTGGAGTAGGAGAGTGAGATTTCAGGTCTCAGGTGCTCCACAACAGAGGAGCTTGGGATTTCCTGTCTCCTGCTGAAATGACAAACCAGTTGTTTTGGCTTTTGAAATACTTTCCCAGGTTGGGGTGAAAAAAGAAACATATTGTAGATGTTTTATCCCTACAGGAGCTGTAAGCAAGAAATATTTACCACCCGCGCTTTCCCATGGTAGACATATTTTCTCCACAAACAATAACTGTAGTTCATGGGAGATTATTGGAATGCAGAAATATTAGTGTGCACACATTCTTTTACTTTGCGTCATCTGCTGTTCACTTGTGTACAGTTATTTTGAAGTATTTGTATAAAGTATTTGTTTTTGTCTATTGTTTGAAATAACTTATTTTATAGTCCTTTTAATAACTCATTATTTGAACTCTTGAAATCGGTTTACTGTAATCTTAATCATTTATCCCATCATCACCCTCTCCTTCGTAATTGTTTATTCTCTGCACATGGCTTTGTACTTGTTAAAAGGTCTCAACAGCAGTGCATATCAAAGCTAAAATGTTTGCAATGAATGTATGATTTATGTGCCGGATGGGCTACTGTGATGTTTGACTGCAATATTATTCGCATTGATTTCTGCTGTGATTTATACTGTTGATTGCTTATAACAAAACATTCCTGCCTTCTGTGAATTGGACATCTTTTTAATATCAACTGCAGATATTAATTATTGTCAATAAAAAAATCTGTTGACTGTATTGGCTTTGACAAAACTGTGGTCTTCATCATTTTATGTATGATTGATATATGAATAGATAGACAAACTGACGAATGAATGGATGGATGGATAGATAGATGCCAATGAAACAGTTTTCTTTTTCTTTCCTTTATCTTTACTGGTTTGTGTGATTTTTAACTTGACTTGCTCCTAAGCTTGATGTGAAGTTGGCCAGTGTTTAAAGGGAGGAACTCCTGACTCTGTAATTGGCACCCCAATCAGCAGTGGGAGGCAGTTTTAAAGGCGTCTCCCTTCTTGCAGGCGCTTGTAAAACAATGAATGTCTTTGAGTGTGGACAATTTTGAATGCAGGCAGGCTGACAAGCAGGGAAACTTGCGTTACCTTCCCCGGCGATGACCCCCTGACTGAATGCGCTCAAGAGCGAAGCCAGGGAAGTTTCCATTTTGCTCTGAATTTGTATAAAGCCATTTGAACTTGGCTGCAACAAACACATTTGCAGCTTCTTCAGATCTGAGTTTCAAAGTCTCGGGGGAAACGGGAGCGGTGAGCCAGCGCCACGAAACGGATTATCGACGATCGTTCACGGCATCACACAGCTGGTTGACTTTATGCGAACCGCCTGGATCTGTTAGCCCGGGTTGCCCCACAAAAACAACAGAGAAAGACAATTTTGCGCATAATTCGATTTAACTGCATTATTTGTAGAGCTTGTGGAACTTCCCCGCAAGTGTTGAGCAACTTTAAAAGCAATGGTGGGAAGACTGAACTTGCGGAATGTGTGTGACGATGATCCGCTGGATATGAATTTCAAAGCTGATCGGCCGCTGGACAGTCCGGACTCTGGTCTGCCTCCGAGTCCGAGTCCGAGCGTTTGGTTACTGCAGGGCACCGGGGCTGGTACCCCGATCACAGAAGACGAGAACAGAGGGACAGCTGTGGTATGGTTCCTTAATGCAAAAATATTAACAAAATATTTGTGCTTTTGTCATTTTTATTAGGTTATTTTAAATATTAGTATTTAGTTTTTTTTTTAATATATATATTTTTTACATTTTTGATCATTTATTATATGTGGTGTTTGTATGTATGTATAACCAATAAAAAAATTTAATATTTATATACATATTTTAATTTATACTGATTTTTACAAATATAACAAATATCTATAAAACAATATTTTAAAAATTCCTAATTACAGGTTCATAATAATCGCCATTTGCATGCATTGTCCTATGGCGAAGGAATTGAACTTGATCCTCTGCCACTGAAAGAAATAAGGTAAAGTTTTTTTTGGTTTTTGTTTTTTGCTGTGGCAGGTGCAATTCATATGTAGCACTAACTTGTAACACGTGTTCTTACAGATACACGTCGTCAGTGCGTTATGATTCAGATCGGCACTTCATCCAGTACGTGACCCTGCAGCCCAAGGGTTTGGGTCTGGAGATGTGCAGCCAGACGGTGTTGGCCCTGCCTCAGAGCACCTGGAGACATTACAAGACCCAGCTGGAGTTCCAGCCCCGTCAGCGGGTGCAGCGCTACCAGAGCACCACCATAGTGTACCCCAAACACACCCGGACCTTCTACACCACCCAGCTCAAATATGACGGGCACAAGCTGACCAAGCGCTTCTTTTCAGCTGTAGAGATGCAGGCTTCTGATTGCCAGGCTGGTCTTTGAAAGACACACGGGCATCTGTGCCTGATGTTACACCCATATGTACCAATTATAAACCACTGCCTGCATTCATTGAGTCCCAAGAGGGGGAAAAAAGGAAACTCTGACTGAAATTGTTGCCAGTTGGAAAGGGGATCCCTAGTCAGATGCGCAGTTTTAGTTTGTTTTAGGCTGAAGGAAGAGTAAGCAACTGTGTTGCTCTGTTTGAAGGTTTGTTTAGGAGCAGCATATGGAGGAGATTTGTATGTGTTTTCTCCATCAGTTATCAATGGTAATGTACAACAATGGTGTTTAATTGTATGTAGACGTGTGGTTGATTATTTAATGGTGAGATTCGAGTTTCAGATATTCTGCTCTGATCTTGGACCATCGTTGGTTTGAAGGTTAGATTTGATTTTGACACATAGTTGGCCATAGAGAAATACATGATTTACTAGAGCGCAAACTTTTGCCCCATCATAAAGTGAGTATTAGAATAATACAATGGTGCATTTTAGGTTTGGGTTACAAAGGTGCAGTTTCAGTACATATTTTTCACGTTTCTATTTAACAGGTTCAATCTCACTGAGCTGTAGAATGGTAACGTTCATATATTAGGGCCTAAAAAGTGTTTTCTGAAGAAACCGGGTATGTTGGTGTGTCTTTGCACAAGTGTGGTGATGAGTGTATGTGGATTAAAACATTAACTCCATCTTAAACTAACATTGTCTGCATATTTTACTACTGTAATTATCCATTAGGACACTTATGGGAAGAACATTAGGACACTGGGGGAAGTCATGGCCTAATGGTTGGAGAGTTGGACTCGTAACCCAAAAAGGTTGCGGGTTCGAGTCTTGTACCAGCAGGGATTGTAGGTGGGGGGAGTGAATGTACAGCGCTCTCTTCCACCTTCAATTTGCCCACGTGTCACATTACTTTCTTCTTTTTCTTCTTTTATGCTGTCATCCATATTTTCTTTATGTAAAGGCTAGCTTACTTCCACAGCTCTGCTTGGTTTTAGTAAGTCATTCTCTGTATCGTTACTCATGAAGGAAAATGAGAAGTGGGGTCACATTAGAACTGAACTCAGTCGTGCCTGAAACTGCAGACTGAGGCATCTGTAGACCAGTGTTTGAAATAAATTATGATGTAAATAACAGCATTTCAGTTTAAAAATGTTTTTATCAGTGGCATATTTCCTGTTCTTGTTTTAATTCTCTTTAATTCTGTGCACAGTCATTGATCAAGTGTGTGACACAAATGTGCTGGTTTTAAAATCTGTAGCTGTGCTGTGTAAAATTATTCTTTTAACTTGAATTCCTTTTAAGATGGTTATTAACTGTTCAAATGAAATAAATACATGTTTAAAGTGACATGTTTTTTTAATTTTTTTTTTTATAAAATGTGCATTGTCCTTGATGTTTGTATTTTTGCATCATGCTAGAAACCAAGACCCTACTTCAAATACAAAGTAGTGCGACTAGTAATCTTCTCATTTGTTGTTCTCGAGAGTCCCCTAGAGGTGTGAGTAAGTATTACAGATACAGTATTGCAAATAAAGCCTTCAGTTCAGATTAAATATGAAGGCAATTGTTTTAAAATCTATATAGTGCTAGTATAAGTTTCATTAATACAAGAACTTTACTGGCTGTCAGGGCAGGCCAAGCTCTTCATGAGATCATCTTGAGCAGCCAGATACCGCCGCCTCCTGTTGGTTTTATAAATCTCAATCCTCTTTTCCTCTTCCACAGGGTTGGCCAGCACTCCCACCCACACTCTAAAAAATGCTGGGTTAAATTCAACCCAAAAATATTGTGTAATTTTGGTCAATAGTTGTGATTGTAGTAATACTTTTAATTCTGGACACAGGATGGCACTGTCGTGTTTGTTTGTCTGTCTATTATCTGTACATTTTACCTGTCTATCTTTCCACTGAAAACTTGTACATAGTTAATGTTTATTATACATATAAACGAAGTATTTTATGTCTTTTGAGAGCCCCAGTGTTAGTTAGTAGTACCAGCCTCAGTACTAGTGAAACTGATGGTGAACACTTTGATAGCCCCTGTGCGTCCAGCTCATCAGTACACAAGTAAGTAGTTTGGATGATGCTTAGTGGAAAATTGTTAGATATTGTGTGCAGACATGGAATCCAAGTTATTCTGCTGAACTGCAGCATTTGTTATTTCTTTGCTTTTGTCACTTGACATTGTTCTTCTATTTAGCACCCTGTTGAAAAAACCAGCATATGCAATGACAATGCTTTTGTCATTTTTATTAGGTTATTTTAAATATTAGTATTTAGTTTTTTTTTAATATATATATTTTTTACATGTTTGATAATTTATTATATGTGGTGTTTGTATGTATGTATAACCAATAAAAAAATTTAATATTTATATACATATTTTAATTTATACTGATTTTTACAAATATTATAAAAAATATCTATAAAACAATATTTTAAAAATTCTTAATTACAGGTTCATAATAATCACCATTTGCATGCATTGTCCTATGGCGAAGGAATTGAACTTGATCCTCCGCCACTGAAAGAAATAAGGTAAAGTTTTTTTTTGTTTTTGTTTTTTGCTGTGGCAGGTGCAATTCATATGTAGCACTAACTTGTAAAACGTGTTCTTTCAGATAAACTGCATATTTTACTACTGTAATTATCCATTAGGACACTTATGGGAAGAACATTAGGACACTGGGGGAAGTCGTGGCCTAATGGTTGGAGAGTTGGACTCGTAACCCAAAAAGGTTGCAGGTTCGAGTCTTGTACCAGCAGGGATTGTAGGTGCGGGGAGTGAATGTACAGCGCTCTCTCCCACCTTCAATACCACGACTGAGGTGCCCTTGAGCAAGGCACC